CAGATGGATTTCTTGTACCAGCAGTTCAGATCTCCGAGGTAACATAGATGCAGTATAATTAAAGAGGAAGAAATAAAGCTTTCTTACAGAACAAAGTTATAGTATGTTATATAAATGTAATAGTAAAATAAAATGAGAAAAGGAGCACCCTATGTTCCAGTAAGTTTAGGAAGTAAGCAGGCTAAGTAATTTTCTTACAGTAGGAAATTTCAGAAACCCTATATGTTCATGCAAAGTTTGAAATTTCAAGAGAGACACAAGTTTTCAATACTTTCTAAAAATTATTTGACTTTGGAATCTTCTCATTTATTTCAAGTTGGAAAACACTTCTAACATTCCCTAAAAACCAAGTTCCAAGTAGCACAATTTGGTAAACATTTCTGTATAATACTGTTTTATATCTGTTGTTATAAAATATAAGAAAAAGTTTTTCTCAGAACAGAAATGTTCTGATCTAATTCAATTCTGTGTGAATTTTAAAAATCACCTGCAATAAAATTTCAAAAATCCTATCCATATATCTAACATTGCTGGTTTAGCTTATTTTGGGTACAGAGAACTAAACCACAGAAGACAAATAAATTTCCTCCTTGGAGATACTTTCTTCAGCATAATTGACCATACAAATAATGTCTTATAAATATACACTAAATAATTAAATTTGAGATTGTATATGTACATAATTTTCTGAGATTTCAGTGTGATTCTCATGTTCATAATTAAAACCCCTTTCTTGTAAAAAAAGGCAATAATTTTGTTCTCAAGTATTAACTTAAACTATTATTGTTTCCAAATATATTTTTTTATTTTATTCAACTTTTCTACCAATTCTTTAATTCTTCTATTTTTCATATGAAAGCTGATAAAATATTTAGAATAAGTATGAAATATTAAATTGTTCATCAATAGTCTGCTAAGGGAGAAGATTGGCATAAATCAATATAATTTGATTTTTTAAGATAAAAATCAGGGCTGGAGACGTGGCTCAAGCGTTAACGCAGTCGCCTGACATGCACGGGGTGCTGGGTTCGATCCTCAGCACCACATAAAATAAAATAAAGATGTTGTGTCCACCGAAAACTGAAAAAATAAATATTAAAAAAAAGATAAAAATCAATGAATGGAAAGTCATATTACTGAGAATGCTGAAGTAAGGGCACTGAAAACTGTCTGGCCAAACACACCAATAGCAAAAATTTGTCAGAATTAACATATTCAGGACTCAGAAAATTAGCAAGGGCTTTAAGGAATCTAGGGAGTATTTAGTCAAGAAAATGGCTGAATTGCAATAAGAAGAGTAAACTTTGTAGCATTTGCTGAACCTAATCTCACCTTCCACTTACCAGCTCTGTTGGTATTCTTGAAAACCAGCAGCTTGTCAAAAATACTGAAAACCAGTCACTGAGGAAGCAGAGGGGGAGAAATGGTTGGCAGCTCCTTCAGAGCCCATCCATTACCTCAGAAGGGTGATCACTCCACTGGCAGGGCTTTCTCATCTGGCCTGACTCAGAACTCCCCCACTGAGAACAGAGTTTTCCCTGGGACGGTGTTGAAACCTCCAGATAGTTGCTGAACATCATGGCTATCTAAGGCAGTGGATAAAAATTGGGGGAAATAACTATCCAAAAAAAATTGAAAGGAAAGCTAGTTGGGTATTCATAGGGGTTTAAATAAAAAGCTCTGACACATTGCTGGGCCCTAATGCTGTGCGTATCTGTAGGGCAGTGTGTATGCATAGGAAAGACCTGAGAAAACCCTAAGCTTCCACCTGTAGCTCTGTGCAAACAGAAAGCAAAGCTAAGGCAGAGTTGTCAAATGCTGTGTTTCCCCAACACACACAGAGCCCCTCAGCAAAGACTGGGAGACTTCTTGATTCTAGGCATGTGAGGAAACGCTGTCCAATCACTAGCTGACCAATAAGCCAACAGAGCAGAGACTTCAGTGGGCACACAAGACAGAAGACAGGCGTTACAGATTTCTCTCAGAAAAGTCACTGCTAAGCAAACTATAACCAACAGCAGCAACAAACCCTGAGTAAGAAAGGGAATCTGAATTCCAGAATTGCTACATTACATTATTTAGGATTTCAGTTGAAAAAAAAAAAAGGAGTCTTTCAAATAAATAAGTAGGATCATATATATAGGAGCAGGGAAAAAGCAGTCAATAAAAATTATTCCTGGGGAAGCCTACATATTAGACTCAATATATAAACACTTTTAGTCAATAAATATAAACATGTTCAAAGTATTAGTGGAAACAATATCTAAAGAATTAAAGGAAAAGATGAGTCTCATCAAATACAGAATATCAGAAGTGTAAAACTTCATTACCTTGAATTGGGCAATACATTCTTTGATAAGACCCCAAAAGCACTTCCAATCAGATGGATAAATTAGACAGTTTAGGGCTTTCTGAGTCAAATGTCTTTGACTTTTCTCCATCTGCCTCAGAAAGTGAATTTTAAGGTGAGCCAATGGGACAATGTGCCATCAAGGGGAGTCAGGAGCACTCAGCAAGAGTTGAGTCAGGAAGGGGATTGCCCAGAGTCAACTATCTGATGCTTAATAATTTGAAAGATTTCTTCTATATTGTATATTGATTAGATAATTTGCTGCTGAGGTAAATACAAAATAGGGAAAAGAAAGGATTCTTGTGGAATTTGGGCTTCTTTCATTTATAACGTGAGGCTTCTGAGATACTCTGTACTCATCTGCTTGACAGAGAAAATGCAAGAATAAAGCCGGCGAGTGGAAGGTACATAGTGAGCCTGGCTCCGTCCACATTCCACTAGCTGGAATTCAGGCATAAGGCCCCACTCCATTCCAGAAATGGATGGAATCTGTTAATTTGGCTCCATGCTCAGGAAAAAATGCTTATAGCATTGTCTGTCGCAAAAGAGAAAGAGATGAAGGTCCTGAGGATAGCTGAGAGTTAAGAATTAACTCTAAAAAATTCTCCCCTATTTTATACTCTATGAGCAGCACTTACAAACCAGGGACAGATGTCAGCTTTAAAGAAGAACAAAATTATGGCCTTTGCCAGTAAATAGATGGAGTTGGAGAATGTTATGCTAAGCGAAATAAGGCAATCCCAAAATAACAAAGGCCGAATGTTTTCTCTAACATGCGGATGCTAATTCACAATAAGGTCGGGGGCACTAGAGAAGAATAGAGTTACTTTAGATTAGATAGAGGGAAGTGAAGGGAGGGGGTGTGGGGATAGGAAGGACAGTAGAACAAAACAAACATTATTACTTTATGTACATATGTGACTGCATGACCAATGTGATTCTGCAACATTGTACACTCAGAGAAATGAGAAATTATATCCCATCTACATATATCAAAGTGCATAAATGCATTCCACTGTATAACTAATTAAAACAAATAAAAAATTAAAAGAAGAGCAGACCACCTGAACACAGGACACAGGACAAGAGGACCTCTGGAAGCTAAGGAGAGGGCCTGGAGCAGATTCTTCCCTTGCCGCCCTTGGAAGGAAGCCTAAGCGCACCATGATCACCCCCCAACCTGATGGAGACCCGGGGCCTTCTGTCTTCTCCCTTTGTGTTTTGCTGCTCAGCCTTGGACCTTCCTTTAAGCATTCAGGAGCCAGGACTCCATGTAACCAGGCCCCCAGCCCTAAGGAGAGTAGGCAATGTGAGATGTGGGGAAACAGAGGAGGAGAAGGATGAGGAAAGAGAATCCATTCATCATCTGCGTCCTCCAACCCTCACAGAAAAGATTCCAGAAAACCCCTCCCCCACAGTTCCTGCCATCTTGTCATCAGACATCCCTTCTCCCACCAATTAAAGAAAAGTCTCTTCCTATTTTAACAAATGATTCCTATGAAATGAAAATAAAGGTCTTCACTGGGGGGGGGGGGGGGAAGTAATCATAACAAGAAAATGACAATACATAAAATGCCTTAACCTGGAGTTTAAGGAATTTCAAAAGTAACTTTGTTACACTCTTTTGAAACTAGCTTAAGCAAAATATTCCCACTACAATTAATAATTTGCATCGACTAGTCTTGGCTTGAACAGATACAGTTGTCAAGGTTTGTAGGTCTAATTTACAAAGTCTTCAGCGGTGAAAGTAAAAGTAAACAAACAACAACAAAAGCAGAATGTTGCCTTAAAAAGAAAACAGAATATTGCCTTTCTTTCTTTCTTTCTTTCTTTCTTTCTTTCTTTCTTTCTTTCTTTCTGTATTCAGAGCAAATATGGTTATAATAATGCCTTTGGACTTTAAATGTTGTGAATGAAAACTTTTCCAGGTTTGATAACGGAAACTCTGCAAGGGAGAAATATCAGATTTTAGTACACAATAAATGAACCCTTTCTTGGGCCTCTTGCCAAACTGTAATTATCTATATAGTTCTTTCATCCGTAGCATGCCTGCCTGTATTATAAGGTCTATCTGTTTCAGATTTTTTAAATTTTTCATTAATGCATTTTAATTATTCAGAATAAGGGCTTCATTGTGTATATTTGTACATGCAAATACACACTTTGATCATATCCACCGTATTTCGGGTATTTTAAATTAAAGCATTTCTGCCTGTGTCCTTAATTCAAAGAAATTAAGGAGATAAATTCAGTATCCTGGGGGATTTCAGGACATAGGACAGGGTTTTCCGCTTCAGTGCGCGCGCGTGCGCACACGCGCGCGCACACACACACACACACGCACACCTCTATTTTAAGGAGGAGTAAGCCTGGCTGCTTTCAGAGAACGTCTTGTGACATCACAGAATGTCTTCTAGGGACTGTTTTCCTTGAAAACTTGAGAAGGGAAATCCCATGCCTCACATTCTGCTGGTCCCCGGTTTCACAAGCTTCTGCAAGTGAATCCGCGTGGCGCTGGATCCTGAACGGCTGGGGACTTGCACTGCACTTGGATTGGTCAGAAGGAAGCCGAGGAGGAGCCAGGCTTCAGGTTTTTTTTCCTCCACACACGATAAAAGTCCGCGGCGGCATCCTGGCTCCTCACTTCTCACGCTCCAAGCCACGCTGAGGCTGGGAGCTGACCCTTGTCAGAGGCTGTGGAATGGCTCAGCCGCTCCCCGGAAAATCATTTTGAAAAGACCCGAATGCCTAAGGCTAAAGTTTAAGCAGAAGTGAGAACAAAAAGCAAACAGCCGACTCTGTCTACGGAGAATGAGCATCTCGCAGCCTAAGATTCTAACCTGATAACGGTCAGAGCTGTACCTGAAAGAGAGTAAAAACTCCATTTCCAGCTGTGAGGCTTGCGGCTGCATCCCCAGCGAGAATGCCAATCGCAGCCTCCTAACTTTCAGACTGATCACGTCTGGGAGAAAATAACGGAGAATCCTGACCCGGGAGGGGACATCGACTCCAGGGGGATTTGAGTCCACTTTGCGACCAGATGATGAACTCCACCCTCCCCCGTGGGATGCACACCTCTCTGCACTTCTGGAACCGCAGCAGCTACGGACTGCACAGCAACGCCAGCGAGACCCTGGGGAAGGGCTACTCGGATGGGGGTTGCTACGAGCAACTTTTTGTCTCCCCTGAGGTGTTTGTGACTTTGGGTGTCATTAGCTTGCTGGAGAATATTCTAGTGATCGTGGCCATAGCCAAGAACAAGAATCTGCACTCACCCATGTACTTTTTCATCTGTAGCCTGGCTGTGGCCGATATGCTGGTGAGCGTTTCCAATGGATCAGAGACCATAGTCATCACCCTGTTAAACAGTACAGACACGGACGCGCAGAGTTTCACGGTGAATATTGATAATGTCATTGACTCGGTGATCTGTAGCTCTCTGCTTGCATCAATTTGCAGCCTGCTTTCCATTGCGGTGGACAGGTACTTTACCATCTTTTATGCTCTGCAGTACCATAACATAATGACCGTGAAGCGGGTCGGGATCACCATAAGCTGCATCTGGGTGGCTTGTACGGTTTCGGGGGTGCTGTTCATCATTTATTCCGACAGCAGCGCTGTCATCATCTGCCTCATCACCATGTTCTTCACCATGCTGGCTCTCATGGCCTCCCTCTATGTCCACATGTTCCTCATGGCCAGACTTCACATTAAGAGGATTGCGGTCCTCCCAGGCACGGGCGCCATCCGCCAAGGGGCCAACATGAAGGGGGCCATTACGCTGACCATTCTGATTGGGGTCTTTGTTGTCTGCTGGGCCCCGTTTTTCCTTCACTTAATATTCTACATCTCTTGCCCCCAGAATCCATACTGTGTGTGCTTCATGTCTCACTTTAACTTGTATCTCATACTGATCATGTGTAATTCAATCATTGACCCTCTCATTTATGCACTCCGGAGTCAAGAACTGAGGAAAACCTTCAAGGAGATCATCTGTTGCTATCCCCTAGGAGGTCTCTGTGACTTGGCTAGCAGATACTAAATGGAGACAGAGGAGATCCTAAAATCCTGCTTAAAAAGTCTTTTTTCATTCTTGTGCAACCTGAGCAGTGTACTTAGGCAGCACCTGTTGTATCTTCTGTGCTGTGCTTTGATTGAGAAAACTTGTGGTAATTTAAGCTTATGATTTTTGATATGAAAAAATGTCCAGTCTCAGTATTATTAGTCACATCATGCTACTTTTTTTGGTTGTAAAATGCTAATCTGTATTATACATATTATAGGTAATATGGATTTACAAAGAGTTAAGATGCCATTATTAAAAGCCTAATATTGTCTCTTTCTTGTTCTCAGAATTCAACACTTTGCTTGTTTTAGTAATACAGAAATCAGAGCTTCATTAAATATATTCTCATGGATGTTTTCATATATTACACTATACAACTTTGAAATGTAGACGTTTGATTTAACATGTAAGGGGAAAACATTTAAAGAATGGAAGCTTAATTATTAACTAAATCAGCACCATTAGTAAAATTTCAAATGACTTAATAAAAGCTTGCCCATCCTCCCTATGCAGAAATGAAGCTCCTCCTGAGAGAAAAACAGCTACTGAAAAAGAAAAGTGAGATTCTCAGTCAGAAAACTGTGTGTGTTTCTCAAAAACAGAAAATTCATTTGCCCAAGAAAACTGCCTGATATTGCAATAAGGCAATGCAGTTTAGAGAGGAAAAACAACAGGAATGGAGATTAAAGTGTTCTGGCAAATCTAAATTGCCATGTCAAGCTGAACTTCCTGATACCAAACTGTCCCCAACCATCAATGATAACAAAGAATAAAGTCTTTCTGCCCCTTTAAACAGGGACCCGGTATCTGCTGAAACATCCAGGAGAAGTGACATTGCAGTGAGAGGTGCAGCATTTGATCTCAAAAGAACTCTATGATTGACAACAAGTTCCTTCACATTCCACATGGACATGACTTGCTATTCACTTATTTTTTTGAACTAGAGTATAAGTGCTGCTTGCTGATCAAGGATTTTAACTTTCCAAACAAAGTCCACAGTGCAAGTGTTTTTAGGCAATATTTGCAAATATCTAAAATGAAGGCACCTGTGATGCTGGTACATTGCCAGCAGGAAGAAAGGCACCTACTGAGCCGCAGAGGAGGTCCTGAGATAAGCTAGCCTTCCCCGGCCACATTTGGAAGAGTGAATACTTGCTTTGCTCCAAAATAATCCCACAAATTTGGCCACTGAGCAATAAAACCTGAGCTTTCTGGTCTGTATGTACTTTAAATAATAGATTATATTAGGCTGATTAGCAGCAAACTGTCCTGGTATTTAATATAGCATCCTCAGATGCTCTTAGGCAGAGCTCACATAGAAAGGCACACCTTCATTCAAATCTAAATGTTTTACATGTTGATCATAAGACCTGAGAAACACTTTCGACATTCATGAGAAAATATTACCCCAAAGTAAAACCCAGAAGTCAAAGTTGACAAGTGAAAAGTGATACTGAAGCTGAATTTTAACCCCACTAAAAATCTTCTATTTTAAAGCAAAAATAGATATGAGGTTTTAAACACAGACCAACATAATAACATCATTACCCTAGGTACGTGTATGACTGCACATATGGTGTGAGGCTACATCTTGTACAACCATAGCAATGTAAAGTTATGCTGCAATTGTGTACAATGAATCAAAATGCATTCTGCTGTCATATATACCTAATTAAAATAAATAAATAAAATTTTAAAAAAAACCTCCTACAGTTTGGATCTTAGAGGTCCAAAGGTCCGTGTGATAGAGGCTTGTCCCTACAGTGGCCCAATGGGGAGGTACTGGAGTCTTTAACAGGGAGGGCCTGATGGGAAGTCCTCAGGTCATTGGGGGTGTGCCTTGTAGGGAATGGTGAGACCCTGGCCCCTTCTTCTTTCTTTCTGTTGCTCCCTGGGTGAAGGTGAGCAGTTTGGCTCTGCCATGAGTTTCCGCATGCTTCTGCTGTACTGCCACAGGCCTATAGCCATGGTGCCAATCAATCATGGACTAAAATTTCTGAAACTATGAGCCAAAATAAACCTTTGTCTCTTTAAAAATTAATTATCTCAAGTATTTGTTCTAGAGACGGGAAGCTGGCTAACACATAGCCCATAGCAATCACAGTACACAGATGGTGTCTTTAGTATCGCTACTATTCCTCTTCCTTCTGTCACATAATGATTCTGAGAAATCCCAGGGGCTGAGACACTGAAAAGAGAGCTATAAGCATGCCATTCTTCTGTAGTGGCTCTCCTTCCAGAGTATTCTCCTTCAAGTGTCACTCCTGGTTCCTTCTTCATACCTTCTAGAGCAGGGTATGGTGTTAGGGTGTGTATTGGCCATGGACAGCTGCACACCACCGGCCTCCCCTAGATGTTCATGGCTTCAGTGTGTCTGTAAGTTCAGAGACTGTCCCTTACTCACTTGTCCTGTTCTCCAAACCTTCCCCTATGATGTTACTTCCTCTTACTTTAGTAAAGTCCAGATTCCTGCAGAAAGATGGTCTTTATCCAACCCCCTCTAAACTCTATCCCACATGCAGTGAAACTGGGAAGCCCACCTGCTCTGATTGGGTTGCTGTTGGATTAATCAAGATGATGTTAGGGTTGAAACTCTAGGCTGAGGCAAATATATTTAGTATCAGGGGAGGTGGGAGGGGTGAGTGGGGCAAAATTGAAGGTTTGGGAGAAGGAAGCTTGAAGGGTACAAAGTGAAGACACCACAATTGATTACTCCAATTAGGAAAATTTAAATATATTAGGAACAAAGACGTGTGCAACACAGAACTGAACGGGAACTTTCCCCATGGAGGAAGGGATTGTTCTTCCATTCTCTCAGCCTACATCTAATGGAAATATGTCATTGGAATAAAACTCAGAATGTTATCCAACCATAATGTGCAGATTCCAAATTGGCTCCCAATCCCTGGTTAGTTCCATATCACAGTCTCAGTTTTCCTGATGTTTAATTTCTGTGCATTCTACATCCTTTGAGAATAAGGAGCCTCCAAGGCTGCCTTAGTTTCATGGCAGGTGACTGCCCTGTGACACAAGTTCTGTCCACTGGATGATTTACCAGGAAGAATAGAGGTAAAATGTAGTAATTTTATCATATCATACATTGATTCTTCCAGTTATGAAACTGGGAGTTAGAAATATTTATGGCTAAGAGCACTGGCATGTCTAAAACTTACCACAAATGAGAATTACTCTTTCCTATGGCTTGTCCATTAGGGATAAAACATACATGGGCTATAGCAAGTGGAAATCAAGATACCATTTAGATCTATGATGTACACACCACTTCCCATCCACCTAGCAAAGTACCTCCAAGAAAATGAGATGTAGGGCACAGTCTATCCTCAGATCCAAGAGCATCCCTCTCCTATGATATCCATTGACATCAGCCAAAGAATAAAAGTGCTCAAGCATCATGGCTGAGAAGAAAAGAGGAAGAAATGTATAAAAATTAGGAAAAGGAGAGGGAGAATGCTTAATGGGCTCTGTATCAGCTTTCCACATCAGCTGATAGAAAAATAAATAAGCAAGCAAACAAAGTCATAAAATGTGCACCCATGAGCAGAGTCTTTAAATACACACATTAGTACAGCCCCTCTGGTGCCTCAGGAATATCTACATGGGAAGGCTTAAGATGCTATGTGGTTAAAGGAGTTACAAATGACTGTCTTGAACCCTTTTACATAGCAGTCACTTTTTACTTAGCTTGTATCTTCCTGAAATGGTGTTGGAGAGAGATCTTGGTGTGACCCACAAACATGGTCATGATGGGAGTCCCAGAATCACACTCCATCAGAAAAGTGTTTCTTCTGTTTGGTGCAAAGATTGGAATGGAAGGAAGAGGAAGCATGGCAGTGAGTACTGTTGTCTCCTCTTTGTTGTTTTTGGGCTGTTTGTTTGTTGTCATTCCATTAACTGGGTGTTATCCTGACACTTTCAAACTTATAGGCTGCTTGGTCCTTTAGTTTTCTCTCATTAATCTAAAAACCATTATTATTATCAAGATAAGCATTTTTCCATCAATGACTCTAAGCTGAATTCTTGTTTAATATTTCTTTTGTGTTTTCTTTCACTCAATTTGTTCTGTTGTGGCTTACCAATAGAAGCGAAGAATGAAAAAGAAATTCAGACATTTGTATTATTCAACAGACCAATGATTGGCTTCTAGTGGATGACAAGGTGAGCACATTCCGCTGCATTCAGTCTAGTCTGCCCACTCTGCACAATCTTACTGGAAAGAATACACTTCTAGTGAAAAATATAAGAAAGGTTATCTGTGCTGCAAAAATATTGCAGCATAGATATCAAGACCCAAGAGATACATCTTCATCATCTATTCATATTTATGACATCAGAAAAGAATTGAAGGAAAAAAAGAAAATCAGCCTAAATTAGTCAAGTTCTAAGTAAAGACAGATGTGTCCTTCAATTATTCATAAAAATAGGAAATATTGCCTATAAAAAAGATTACCAAGATTTTAATTATAGCACTGAATTGTCTTTGACATATGGTTGCTGTAAATTTTAGTCTATCAAATTTATAACATTTTTTAAAGCTAAATGGAAAATGTTCAAAGTTGTTGAGAAGGCAGTAAAAAATCGACTTATATCCTTTTATGTTTAAATGTAAATTGATATGATTTTTTAAAATTTTAATTTTTTATATATGACAGCAGAATGCATTACAATTCATATTACACATATACAGCACAATTTTTCATATCTCTGATTGTACACAAAGTAGTCACACAATTCATATCTTCATACATGTACTTAATGTAATGATGTTCATCTCATTCCACCATCTTTTCTAACCCCTGCCCCCCCTACTCTCCCACCTCTTTGCCCTGTCTAGAGTCTATTTAATCCTCCCATGCACCCCAACCCCATTATGAATCAGCCTCCTTATGATATGATTATTTTTAAGGATAGTATGTGATAGGTATCACAAACAGTAAAAACATCCATCTTTTGATCATCTCACTACAATTCATTGTAGACATAGCAGTGTTAAGTTAAGAAGTCAAATCAGTTGGAGAACCCACGTTGCCTCCCAGAAGTACCTATCTGAGGATTATTGGTGCAACATCAAAAATCCCAATGTCTGCGGTATGTTTGCAGCACAGATAACCCTTCTTATATTTTTCACTAGAAGTGTATTCTTTCCAGTAAGATTGTAATGCCCCATTTCATTGTTATTCTTTCATGAAAATATTGGTAGATAAGAAATGAGGAAATTATTTGTAAAACTTTACTGATATCTAACAGTAAGTAACCCTTTTTCTATTCAATTCTATTATTCTATTACTGGTGATCTGTGAAAAGAGTAAATTAAAAGAAGTTATATTTAAAGAAATTATTTTTGAATGAGATCAGATATTAAATATCATCTCTCCATCATCTAAGTAGACTCAGAGAAACTGCCTGATGTCACCTGGACAGAGAGAAGCAGTGGCAGTGCCTGATTCCCCAGCCAGGTCTCCCTGCACCATAAGTCAAGTCCCTCCTTCCTGGATAATTGTGCCTTCCCCAGTCATAGAAACCTGGGGCCAAATTTTGATAACTGTACTTTTTGGCTGTAAGGTTTTGTTAATTTCCTCATGATTAAATGTGCATAATCATACATGCCTGACTGGTATCTTAAAATAATTAAAGAATTAAATAAGATCAAGGGTGTAAAGTTCCAGAAAACAGTGCCAATTCACGTTGGCTCTACAAAAATGATAATTACTACTATTTTTAAAATATAAAGTAAATGGATAAACCATGCATGAATAAAGATGTCTTAGCATTGCTATCTTTTCCAGACACTCAATGCTAGCAATAAATATACTGAGGGCTTGGGTTAATTACATATCTTTCCTTAAATCATATATAATTATTTTCTGAGCTTTGTTTGGGTTTTATTTGTTTAAGTGAATATCTTTATACATAATAGATATGGGGCCTACTTGTACTCTAAAAGGATAATTTGTTGTCACCAATAATTTGTTATTTTGAAATTTGCAATGTCACAATTTGCAACATTGATATTGTGAAAGGCTAATTAGAAAGATAATGTGTCAAACATGAAATAATGAATACGCCCATTTTTTCCTGAGATTAATTGATACTCATTAACTTTACACCATTAATTCAAGTATTAGTGCAAAACAATCATTATTTAATCTGAGGTTACTAATTTATGCCAAAGTTGTGTATATGAAGGTAGAAAGGACATCTGATTTGGAGCAAGTATTGAGTTCAAATTACAAATAAACTGTTTTTTCAACTGTAGAACTTGAGCAAGTTACTTAACTTTCCTAACCATCTCTAGACTAATCTTTGAAATGATGGTATCTATTATCCTATGATTAGGGTGAATATCAGAAAATGTAGAGCTAAAGGGTCTAGTATAGAGCTTGTCATTACAGGTATCTATTATCACAATGATCTTCAAATTATACTCAAAAAGGTTTTCAAAGTTTTGATCATAGAAAAAGTTAAACAGTGACAGGGATGTGGACATATTAATTCCCTACTGTGGAGAGACAGAAATACATTCGAAATCTATTGGCACAATTTCATTTATTTCTAACAAGCAGATCAAATAAAAACAAATCTTTATTATTTTAAATACAAATAAATTTTGAACATTCCAAAAATATTCAGTGGACATAAAGAATGGAATTCAGTAAGAAGACAAAGATTGTTTCATGGCTTAACCAATGCTTTATTTCCTAGGCTGAATAGTGGGCTTAGTGTATACGTTAATATTATGCTTTGAAACTTAGATAAAGATGGGATATACTCTTGTACATATTCAATATTGCATGAAATCTAAATGAACATAATGCACTTATTTTGTAATGCACTTAGTAAACACAAACTAATTATTTTTAAAAAACAAAAGATGAGTTTTGATCTAAGGTAGAATTGATTGAATTTGGACCCAGGCTAAGGAATTAATAATCACAGTTTACCCTTATGAAGTGTTTCATTGC